TTGGGGGGTTTTTTTTTGAAGTGGCGTTTTCTCCCCCCAGAAAAACATTTTTTCCTTTTTTATTTCTATTTTAGGAAAAAAAACCATACCTTTTTTTTTTTTTTTTTTTTTAGTTTCAGGAAATGAGCCGTAGTTGTTGAACAAGACAAGGGAGATATGGTTCCCTGGGAGAAAGTAGATTGGTAATGAAATGTCAAGTGTTAGTAGATGCGGATCACAGAAACAGAAAACACAGGAATGAGAGTTGTGAGAAGTGAGGCTGTCTACTCTATCAGGTCAAAGTTAAGGTGCCCAAGATATCAGGTGTGATACTTTCTCCATGTGCTCTACTCTAATGTCACTTCTTGTGTCTTTTCCTGAGCAGTTTTGTACTCTCAACAGTTCTCCATGATCCACTTAGTGTGCTACCTTCTTCATAAACCAGCCCACAGCTTCTCCATTTTATGCTCACTCTCCTTCTTTTGTTCTCGTCTTCTCTTTTCTCCTTTGCTTCTTGTATGTATGCCCTGTTTATAGACAATAATCATATGATTGTACATACTAATGGACATAGCCATATAAATGCTGTCAATATGCAGCTTGTAAGCACTGAAGACATGTTTTTAAATTAATGACAGTGATACCCATTGGTAAGTTGTAACTGAATGAATTGCATATGCTATTTCTGCTTTCAACTTAATAACTTCAGTGATGATGGACGGGTTCACTAGCTTATCAAAATGGAACATGTTATAGTATCAGCCCAAGTTTCTAGGCATCCTTCATAGTGATTTTTGGATTCATTGATTCAGTTAGAACATATTTATTGAGCAGTTAATCTGTGTCTAGCACCATTTTAGGTACTTATGATTCAACGACATGGAACAAATATTTGCTTCATATACACTAGAATATTGAAAAAGGAGTCAGGCAATATATGAAAAACAAATAACAAGTAAATAAATATTGGATATTATGAAGAAGTATGTGGTTTTGAAAAGGTATAAATAGCATAAATCCATTAGAATAAGAATTATTAAAAATACAAACTAACTGCTAACAAAGATGTTGGAGAAAAGAGAAACTCTAGTAACCTATTGTTGGTAATGTAAACTAGTACAAACATTGTGTTTAGATTCCTAGAAAAAGTAAAACTAAAATTACCATAGGATACAATAAGTCCCTTACTGAATATTTACACAAATAAACTTGTTTTAGTATGTTGAGGAGGCATTTTCGTATCCATGTTTATTGTGGGACTATTTGTGATAGCCAAGAAATGAAAATAATTTAAGTGTCCCTCAATGGATGAATAAGATAAAGAAAATGTGGCATATATACACCATGGAATACTGCTTATCTTAAAGAAGAAAAAACTCTTGTCATAAGGGATATTATGCTAACTGAAGTAAACCAGACATAGAAAAATATTTTATGTTCTCATGTGTATGTAAAATTTAAAAAGGTTTAGAAACAGAAAGTAAAATGATGGTTCCCAGGGAACAGTTAAATGTTGATCAACAAACCAAAATTTCACTTAGATAGTAGGAATAAGGTTAAGAGATCTATCATGTAACATAATGACCAGAAGTAATAGCTAATAGTCATGTGTTCTTGAAAAATTGCTAAGAGGGTACATTTTAAGTGTTCTTACCACAAAATGAATAACTGTGAAATAATGCATAATGTTAACTAAGTCCATTTAACTATTATAATATGTATGTATAACAAAAGAATATATTGTCGGGGCTGCAGAGATGGATTAGCGGTTAAGAGCACTGGCTGCTCTTGCAGAGGATTCAGGTTCAAGTCTCAGCATCCACATAGTGACTAACAACTGTCAGTAACTCCAGTTCCAGAGGATCTGATGCCCTCCTCTGGCCTTTGCAGGCATTGCATGACACGGGTACACTTACGTGCAGGCAATACACTCATACAATAAAATAAATATAATAAACTCATAATATAAAAATAAAAAATAAAATATTTTCAAAAGAATATGTTGTCTATGATTAATATATAACATTTTCATTTGCCAATTAAAAATTAAATCAGGGCCAGCATGGCAAGATGGTTCAGTGGGTAAGGCTTCCTACTGCCAAGTCTGACAGTCTGAGTTTGATCCTAAGAACCTACATGGTGGAAAGAGAATTGACTGTCCCAAGTAGTCCTCTGACCTCCACGTGTGCCACAGCACATGTGCTCCTACACACATCCATACACACACCCCATAAATAAAAATTAAAAATAAATGTAATAAAACATTTTAAAATTAAATACAATAAAGAGAAATTGCAGATGCACATGGGGACGGAGTGGGGTTGTTATTCTGCCTGTGTTTCAGGGTAATTCCCCACTCGTATAACACGCCGGGATTCAATACATCAAACTTCATTCCCTTCTCCTGCTGAATCTGATTCAGCAACAGAAGACAGAAGCCTTACCAAGGCATTAGTTCTCATGTTATTGAGTAATATGTAAGAAGCAAGATTTATGCTGGCAATGCCTTCAAAATTCCAAAAGGTCAAATTTCAAATATATAATGTATGAGAAATAAACCATGAAAATGCACCTTGTAGTGTACTGTGAAATTCTTCAAGAATCTAACTTTACAAGCTGCAGTGGACTGGAAATGAGGACAGTGATCTAACACAGCCAAAATTTTTTGCTGGTGACATAAGAATAGAGGAGCCAAGAACCACAACACCACTCCAGCTTTCTGGCTTCCTCCCAGGAGTCTAAACATTTGTTTCCTGAGAAATACCACTTGAATAATTTCTTGGCCTCTGGACAGGATACCACAGAGCTAAAATCACAGTGCTCTTGTTTTGGTTTGTAAGCTGGAGCCAGGACTTTTAATGTTTTAATTTGTATTTTTTTACACCGTGGTAATGCAGCTATATTTGAGACAATCTGAGCAATATTGCTTGATATTATTCCGAAAGATAAAAGTTCTTGGAGAAGAAGAATTTCTATAGATTCCATCAAAGTATTAAAAGGCAAGCTTAAGTGATTAGCAAGGAAAAACTCATGTCAAATCCTGACAGATCTTACCAGAGTCCAGAAGTAAAACATTTCAGTGGTATACACACAGACGAGTCACAGAATCCAAAAAAAAAGGAAAAAGAAAAAGAAAGAAAGAAAGAAAGAAAAAAAGTCTTTTAGAGGGGATTGTTGAAGAAATGCATTCATTGACCCAGAAAAAGACAAGCCTGACGTACAAGCTAGTAACTGCCTTAAAATGCACCAATGACTCAGATGCAGAAGACAGTCAATCAGGGTTCCTTTTACTCAGATGATGAAATCGACTTAAGAAGGGTCATGGAAGATTTGGATTAGACTTAAACGGGAATCTTTATTGTGAAACACTGGAAATGGTTCCTAGGGAAAGTTATGGAATCTTTTCTCTAAGGGGTGTTATAAATAGGAGAGAGTCTTATTTCCTGATGATCTGAGTGTAGCATCAAGACCTAGTGACCCTAAGGTTTCTTCTGTGGGACTGGATTTGTACACCAGCTCTTTGGGAATCATGCTGTCCTCATATAATGCTGCATTGCACTAGCATGATTTGTATTCCATCATCTCCTAGTCATGTGATGTACGTATTTTAAACATCTATCTTCTGTAAAAATTATAGCTTGTACTTTTCTCTTCTCATTTCCAAACCTAATATTCAAGTAATGTGAATAATATGCTTTGTGCTTCTTTTCTGTCTCAGTAATTACTATCTCATCAGTGATGATTAGTATTGCCCATTCTCTCTGGAAGAAGGGAATACAATATGAGCTATGAAAGTTCACACATGTTCTGTTACCCCAAATATTTTTGTAAATGTAATAGGTATTTGTTTGAATAATTTCCTTTCTGCAGATATCAGGAAGTTAACAGATTAAAAATTCTGTTCTTGTGAGTTGATCTGTTTTTAACCCACATTACTATCTTTACATAGGGCTTGTAGAGACAATTTGCAAGAATCACCTGGATCCTACAGTCATTTGGAAAGGTAGGTTTAATTTTCTTGAATTTATAATAAAATTATATAAGAAAGTAATTTTCAGGAGAATAATTAAAGTTGAATATGACATTCACGCTAATCTGTTTTAGTTAAATGTCAAGAAAACTAATGTCTTGAGGAAAGCAAACCTGTATTCAGGGACATGGTGATGTTAACACTGGGACCAAAACACTGGTCCTGTAATTCACAACATGCCCCACTGTGTCTTGCTCTCTCATTATTTGTCTAGGGAAGTAGCATAAATTAGTGTATGTCTGTTAAGGTTAAGGATCTATTGGTACAGAAAATTGTGACAGCCATATAGAAATGATATATGATTAACAAGAACATGCTTCTTTCAAGAAGGATATAGGAAGGGGATCATGTCAGAGACAGATTTACACAAGAAATATTTCTTGTGACTTGAAAAACAGCCTTTTCCATTTGGAATTCTAGAATGTGAGGGAGAGGGGAGTTGTTGATTTACCATGCATGGCAGTATAAACAACTGGTTGGAATAATGGGAAATTGCCTCAAATACCATAGACAAGAGTTAAGAAATTGAGTAAGGTCATTATTAACCCAAATAAAAAGACAATTATGATAGAGTCTACTAGATAGAGGGCAACATTTTCTGCATATGGGTTTATGGAGGTCTAACAAATTCTGATTAAAATCTAATTTAAAACAATGTTTGCAAGCATTGAGTTCTCTACGATGACCATAATAAGCAACACGTATGTCACTTAAACTTCACAGCCTGTCTGTGTCATTAAGTATTTGGGTAACATAGTGAAAATTATCAAGAAGTGTAGAAGTCTGAAAGTCTCACTGAAATGTAAGAGGCCAATATCACTGCTAAGTAAATGAGAACAAAGCAAATAAGTCATGCTGTTACTTACTTTGTCCTGGAGAAAAGCCATTTCCTTCTTGCTCTTGTGTTTTCCTTCTCTTTGAGGCATCTTATGTGTCTGCAGCAGATATTCAGTACAAGATCACAAAGATAAATAGAAATCTCATCTTGCAGTCCAGTTCAAGTAGGAGTGTAAACAGACAATTATGCTAGAGTCTACTAGACAGAGGGCAAAATTTTTTGCAAATGGGTCTATGGAGGTCTAAGCTATGGTTCTCAAAAAGGGGATGATGTCTAAGTGAGTGGCATTTTGAATGATATATAGGAAGATCATAATATCGTCTGCCTTAATTAAAAAAAAAATACCTAACTGGATTTCTTGTCAACATGCTTTCCTTCTTACACTTTGAAGGAGCTTCTAGTCCAAAGAAACTTCATAAGAAAAGTCATTGTAATGTTTATTAATGAGTTCAAATGATAGTGAAGTCTTTACAAATACCTTAACACATTCCATAAATAAAACTAACATGTGTTACCAATTGTAAAATGGGTAGGCTTTTCTCTATTACACTGTTGCCCTAATTTAGCATATCAAGCACTTATGAAGATGTAGAAATGATGACTGATTTTTTCTACACTGGCTTCCTTAAATGTCTTTGTTCTATTTTATGGAATTCTGTGATTATACAGTCCATTCTGGCATATGGATTTGATATCCCAGGGAAGAGCTCTGTTCATTATTAACTGATGTTTGGGGACTTAGAATTGTTTGTAGATGTCTATCCCGAGATACTCCCTGCTTTATTTCCTCCAGAGGAGTACTTCATGTTTCATCAGTGAAACTGAAGAATTTCTGTTAACTATTTATGGAACCTCGTCCCTTTACTTATGAAGACAATAGAAGAGGATTCAGTACAGTTAATTGTGGCAATGAGAACTTTGGGAATTTAACAATGCCTGCTTTCCTATCTCATTCTCATTTGGTATTTCATCATTACTTTATTCTCTCCTCTGAGAATTTTTATTTCATTGACATGTGAAGATGAATCCATGAATTCATAGATTTCTCCTTATGTATCACTAATACCAGTCTGTATCTCTATGTCTTGTACCATATTCAAGATAAGAATTAGTCATGATCTACAAGCATGCAAACTGAAAGACTAACATATACTTACTCCTCCACGTAGCCTTCTTGAATACTTTATGTAACTATCAATGTGACTTAATTCCTTATCTATATTTTTTATTTAAAATATTTTATTATTTTCTACTTTATGTGTATGGATGTATTGCCTGCATGTGTGTAAGTGTACCTGTGTCATGCAAAGCACAAGGAAGTCAGAAGAGGGTGCCAGAATCCCTGGAACTGGAGTTACAGACGATTTCTGGCTGACATGTGGGTTCTAGGAATTGAACCCGGGACCTTTGCAAGAGCAGTCAGTACTCTGAACCACTGGGCTATCTCTTCAGCCCCTATTTATTTGTATTTTATGTGTATGGATGTTTTGCCGAATATGTCTTGAATGCATCACGTGTATGCAATGCTCTCAGTGGCCAGACGAGGGCGATAGATGCCCCTGGAACAAGAGTTATGGATCACTGTTAGTCAACATCTGGGGGCTGGGGAACTGACCTCTACAGAAGCAGCCAGTGCTCATAACCACTGAGTCATCTTTTTAGCCCTGTCAATGTTTATTTTTGAGGCAGGGTCTCAATTTATCCCAGAATAGCCTCAAAATCTCTATGTCTTGGAGGATGATGAAATTGAACTTCTGATCCTCCTGTCTCCACCTCTCAAGCACTGGGATTACAGACCTATATCACCATACTTAGTTTATACAGTGCTTGGAATTGAGTCGAAAGTTTCATAGATGTTAGTTTTCAATCAGCTGAGCCACATCCCCATCACCGTCAACACATTTCATTAGAACAAATAATTCCTATGTTGGGACCCCAGTATAAAAGAGGAACACCAGTATTAGGACTCACCATCCCAGGAGCTGGCAAGGGATGAGCCCTGAACAATTAATGGACAGGGAAATTTTCTTTCATTCATCAGGCTACTCGCCTTCTAATAAAACATTTCCATCATATAATTCATAACTTGGCTTGCTAAATTCCAAAAACATGGTAGTTGCATTATATATTAATTTATATATTTCTTACTAAAATATTGTGAAGTGTGATTAATATTTTTTTGTTTTATTTTATTTTATGCCTTTTTTGAGGCAGTCTTTTTATATAGCATTCCAAGCTGGTCTGGAACTCCTTATGTGCCCAGCTAGGCCTCAAACTTCTCTTCCTCATGCCTCTGACTTTCAAAAGCTAGTATTACAGCCATGTACCACCATACACAATCGTATCCTAATTTTGAAAATGAGGAAACTGAGGCATAGCACACTTTACCAAAGCCATATTGTAAATGATGGGGCTGAAACTCCATCCCAGGCAACCTGACTCAAAAGTTAGTGTTTTTAGACATTATTCCATAGTACAAATCAGGTCTGATTAATGTCGTGTGCATGTCTGTATTTCCATCAGCACTCCATGTTCTCTTCTAAATTTGGGCCACATATGTGTGCTAGAAAGCAACTCAGAACCAAGGCAAATGGAATGCAGCTTTCTCGCAACATTCTCTCTCCTTTCTCTTTCCTTTTCTTCCTTTAGTGCTCTGAATGGAAGCCAGGGATTTGAGCATAATAAGCAGGCATTCTGTCACTGAGCAACATAACGAAGTCTTACCTGAATTTTAAAGATGAGACTACTGTTACACAATATATCTTTTCTTGTGTTATTTGTTTATAATCTATCCTTTTTATTGGAATACAGGCCCAATGAGTGCAGCAGTTTGTCCATCACTATATCCCAATTATCTAGCACAGAATTGAATAACTATTCATTAAATAAATCACTGGATGACTGAATGAACCACTAACAGTGACCAAGGGGGGCAGTAAGTCTTAGTCTGAATAAAGTACTAAAATATGTTTTATAAGATCACTGCCAAAATAGTTTGATGTGGGAAGGGGGCATGCCTGTAATCTCAGCAATTTGAGAGACTAGGGCAAGAGGATTCAGACTTCCAAGGTATTCTGGGCTATATAAAAACTTGTCTCAGAAAAGAAAGAAGAAAGTAAGAAAGAGAGAGAAAGAAAGAAAGAAAGAGAGAGGAAGAGAGAGAATGGCCCATCTAAAATAGTAATAAAATAGTGAACTAGATTACTGCAAATGATTACACATTGCAGCTGTTGGGTTTTCTGGCAATATTACCACTTCAAAGTCAGCACTCATATATGTGAATATGATCCATAAAATCTGTGATTTTCTTGCAAATTAATTGAAATAATTCATACACAATGCATTTAGAAACTTTTAGTAACTCATTCAAGCATTTTTTTTGGTCTTTTTGAAGCAGGGTCTCCCTGTAAGCCCCAGTTGTCCTGCAACTCACTATGTAGACCAGGCTGGCCTTGAACTCACAGCGATCCGCCTGCCTCTGCCCCCCAAGTGCTGGGACTACAGGCGTACGCCACCACACCTGGCTCATTCAAGCATTTTTAAAAGCCACATGCCACTAATAAAGTGACAATATGAGATTAATATTCACTTTTTTGGTCTTTATTTTTCTTTGAAATGATGGTGTACCCTAGCTGTTGGGAATTTTCTGCTGCTCGTTCAGTTTCCAGCTGGGACTTCCGTCCCAATTTTCTTAGGGCTCAATCCAAAGCCACACATATGTACACTTTGGTTTCCTGTTAATCGCTCATTTAAAATTTCAGTATGTGTTTGATCTCGTCTCTATGTTATCAAGGAGAAACCAGGAAAGATCATGATGTTATAGTAAAGTCCTCTTTCCTCTAAACTCTTCTTGCTAATAACCTTTATTTTATGACACAATTTAAATATTAAAAGGGGGCAAATAGAAAAGTTATTTTGTGATTTCCATGCTTTAAAAAATAGGTAAAAAAATTATATCTGATAATTCTGAAATGTAGCCCACTTTTAAAAAATGAGTTTATAGAGCAAAATGTCACGCATTGCATGAAATATTTTCAAATGAGTCAAGTCAATTGAATACTAGATGGCAATGTGATATGGTGCAAATGGATTTTTATCTGCATAAGGCATTATTTCTAATTTCATTAGATCTCTC